TTTCAAGATAGTTATTTGAATGTGAAATTCAAAGATAATTGTACTGTGAAACTGTCACCACAGTTTCACAGGCTGGTATTGATTTTGGCCAATTACAGGTGATGTCCAACTGTTAGCAGTTAGGTGTTGAGTACCACTGACAGTGTTTTGAGAACAGAACTGTGCAGATGTGAAATTGAAATTAGATAAGAAATAGAAAACTGACATTGTTAAAGAAGGCACTGGAATAAGGACACGCAGAAGTGCTTATTACCAGTCCTGCCTGCCATTGGAAAGTCTTCAAAAGCAAAGAGTGATTAGTTGAGAGCATTAGCAGAGAGTATCTGTATCAGTTTAGACATGTTAAAGTTTATGGTATAAAGTTAATTTTAGGTACTTAAAAAATGCAGCCTGGTGTTGTGGTAAACAAGTATAACAATGACTATGTATAACTTGAACTTTCTAGATAGGTGAGGAGTACGTCTTAATGGTAATTTAGAGATCAGTCATGCTGAGTTCCTATGGCTGAGATGGAGAATGGCATGTACTCTGTCTCGCCAGTCTCCTCGATGGAACATCATTTTTTTGATACTGCCACTGGTGACTACTGAGAGAGCAGTAACGCTCTTGCAGGCGCTGGGCTTATCCAGAGCCTTAGCAGTGACTGTGGCCGCAGCCTGCTTACCTCTCCAGACTCTTCCGTATGAGCTCAGTCTCTGAAATATGGAGATTATGCTGAAATGAAATCATGGAATGCTTTGGGTTGGGAGGGACCTTAAAGACCATCTAGTTCCAAACCCCCTGCCATGGGCAGGGATACCTTCCATTAGACCAGATTGCTCAAAGTCCCATCCAACCTGGCTTTGAACACTACCAGGGAGGGGGGGCATCCACAGCTTCTCTGGGCAACCTCTTCAAGTGCACCACCACCCTCACAGTAACGAATTTCTTCCTTATGTCTAATTTAAATCTACCCTCTTTCAGCTGAAAGCCGTTATCCCTTGTCCTATCACTCCGTGCCCTTGTAAAAAATCCCTTCCAGCTTTCTTGTAGTCCCCCCTTCAAGTACTGGAATGCTCCGATAAGGTCTCTCTGGAGCCTTCTGTTCTCCAGGCTGAACAGCCCCAACTCTCTCAGCCTTTCCTCACAAGGGAGGTGTTCCAGTTCTCGGATCATTTTTGTGGCCCTCCTCTGGCCCCGCTCCAACAGGTCCATGTCTTTCCTGTGCTGGGGGCTCCAGAGCTGGACGCAGGACTCCAGGTGGGGTCTCACCAGAGCAGACCAGAGGGGCAGAATCCCCTCCCTCGTCCTGCTGACCACACTGCTTTTGATGTGGCCCAGGATACGGTTGGCCCTGTGGACTGCGAGCGCACATTGGTGGCTCGTGTCCATCTTTTCATCCACCAGTGCTCCCAAGTCCTCCTCCTCAGGGCTGCTCTCAGAGAGCTCAAGAAAGACTCTGAAGTAAAAGAGTTCATACTAGTCATGAGATTTGGAATTTTTTCAGTTGCTCAGACCATTTTGGGGGAGAAAAAACCAAGTGTTTCAGGGCATTAAGTTATGATCACATTAGGATGCTCGTTTCAACCTCATTGAGCGCTTATATGGAGAATTGACTGGCTTTGCATGTTGTTGATTAATTTTGAACTTCAGAACTCGAGAGGAATCTTGAAAACTAAAGAAACAAAGAATGTGACCTTTTATTGAAGCAAGTGAGAGTGAGAAATAACTTTCCATTCCCTAAAAATTTCCCTAACGTTGCAGTGAATTAACAGTGCCTTTTTGAAGTGACTTGTGAATACAAATGAAAAATTATAAGTAAAATACTTTTCAGCCAAGGCAGTGAAAGGTGAATAGATAGTAATAAGCTTGTACTTCTGTGTCAGTGTCAGTCTTATTAAGGAAGGCAATTCTTGCAGTACATTTGCAGGTTTTGGGTGCATATCAGTGATAGCAAGTTAAACGGTGTAAAATGCTGTGTGATCTCCTGGAAAGATCAATCCGACGTTCCCTAGATGTTCATTACTTCTAACTAAAGCCATCCTAAAGACTCAGATTTTAATGGTCCTACATCTCTATCCAGTAAAGAAAACAATGTGAAGAGGAGTAACCTTGTGGGAATAATCACACTGAATGTTTTCTCTTTTTTTAGGTCCCTTACTAGAAATACAGCTAGTGGATTTTTTTTTTCCTTGTAAAAATTATGTGCCGTTCTTTTTAAGAATATTTTTTTGCTTTAAGGTGCCCCTCTCTCAAATATGGTGACATAACCTGAATCCTTTTTACAGATTCTCTTTTAACCTTTTCTGCTCATTACTTCCCATTTGTTTCTTTTCATTTAGAAAACCCTTAAATATTTTCCGAGTTTCCTTTACAGTCCTAAGAGAAGATTTGATCTCTATGCTGGCGGTTTCATTTCTGAAGACCTGAATTCTTGATGAATTTTTCTTACTGTGACTGAAAATGAGTTTGACATTCTCATCCTGACTTCCATGTGTCAGTACTGGAGAACCATTGCGAAACAGTATGGGTCTTCCCGACAGAATTAGGCATACTGATGGGCAAAGGGAGGAGGCCACTTGCCTGTCCGTACTGTGACTGATCTGCTCTCATCCTTACTGGTCTTTCCTTCCTTTGGGTATTTCTGTCAATGCCCAGGAAATGTTTGCATGCAGTATCCAATTACAAATCATAGAATCATAGAACAGTTTGGGTTGGATGGGACATTAAAGATCATCCAGTTCCAAGCCCCCTGCCATGGGCACGGACACCTTCCACCAGTCCCATAAAACCTGGCTTTGAACACTTCCAGGGCACAACTTCTCTGGGCAACCTGTTCCAGTGCCTCACCACCCTCATAATGAAGAATTTCTTCCTCATGTTTAATTTAAATCTACCCTCTTTCAGTTTAAAGCCATTATCCCTTGTCTTGTCACTCCATGCCCTTGTAAAAAGTCCCTCTCCAGCTTTCTTGTAGGCACCCCCTGTCTCCCTGGAGCCTTCTGTTCTCCAGGCTGAACAGCCCCAACTCTCTCAGCCTTTCCTCACAAGAGAGGTGTTCCAGTCCTCGGATCATTTTTGTGGCCCTCTTCTGGCCCCACTCCAACAGGTCCATGTCTTTCCTGTGCTGAGGGCTCCAGAGCTGGATGCAGGACTCCAGGTGGGGTCTCACCAGAGCGGAGCAGAGGGGCAGAATCCCCTCCCTTGACCTGCTGACCACGCTGCTTTTGATGTGGCCCAGGATACGGTTGGCCTTGTGGGCTGCGAGTGCACATTGCCAGGTCGTGTTGAGCTTCTGGCCAACCAACACCCCCAAGTCCTTCACCTCAGTGCTACCCTCAGTTCTCTGTCCAGCTTGTATTTGTGTTTGGAATTGCCCTGACCCAGGTGCAGGACCTTGCACTTGGCCTTGTTGAACCTCATGAGGTTTGCACATGCCCACCTCTCAATCCTGTCAAGGTCCCTCTGGATGACATCCCATCCCTTCATCATGTCGACCACACCACACAGCTTGGTTTTTAAGGTGGTATACAGTTTGACACCACTTCTTACTTTTGTTTTATATACATGAATGTTTCAACTTTGCCATTTTGCCAAGTTTCACCACTTCCCACTGTTGGTGAATCAGTTTAAGATCACATATATCGTATTGTGGTTAGAACTGGGAAGAATCAAAATTATACTAATTTGTGTACATTGTGTGGACTGAAGGTCTAAACAATGATTTACTGCTGTTTAAGCTTCTGTTTTGTTTATTGAAAATAGGCTTGCAGATGATGAGATATTAATTAAAAAATGACAACCAGTTTATGTATAGAAAAATACATAACTCACTATGAATTAAAAGGATGTAAAAATATATAAAGAGATAGACATCTTGGTGTCAAACTTGAGCAGAATAATGTCCACGTTCCTACTTGTTTTCTGGTTATTTCTACTTAGGGGGGAAGTTTAATCCATATGTGAGGTGTTATGGATGATGTGAATGTGATATAAAATGGAAGGAAAATAGAAAATGGCAAATACACTATGACAGCTTGGGAGTTACTGAAGAGTGTGATGAGTTTTGAATGTCCTTTCAGTGAAAACAGAAACTCTTTCAATGGTCTGTCATGGAAGAGTTCTCCTTATAGGATGTCTGTACTTCAGTGCAACGCTTTTGGAGCCTCTGCAGTGGAGGTCATGACCACCGTGCCTTTGCTTAGCAAAGAGGAACAGTGTGGTTGTCCAGTTTGAACAGCACAGTGCTCTACTACCCTTTTCAGTGCTCAGTGATATTCTTGTCTGCTTGTTGATAGCCGTGGCACCCTAGTGCTTCTCTGGGATTTGGAGTTTGTGTAGTAATAACATTGACTTGCACGGTACCTGCAGGAATCAAATGTAACTCTTTTCCAGAAGCAGCAGCAGTTGTTTGAGTCAACTTACCCCACTGTCCCTCTGGATTTTGGTGGTGTACGCAACAACTCTGTAAAGAATTGAAGACAACAGCAGGCACAAACAGCATCTGCGGCTCCTTTTATTTCGGAAGCCAATAGGCAATATTGCAGAGATTCTGTATTATTTCTCCACTTCTAGTGATGTCATATTTGTAATGCTGTGCGTACTTCTATTTGCCCTAATCTGTTTTGACTCTTAGGCTTGCTGCTCTGACTGTGTGTTTACTCATCTTTTTTCTTACTGTCCCTTGGTCTCTGATGGTCTCGAATAAATGGAAAAGGCACATACCTGCCATTCTTCCATGTTGTTGAGTGATGTCCATCACAAAGGAGCCTGTGAAATGATGCTGTTGAAGAGCTGCTTGCACCGTAAACACAAATTACTGCTGTCCATCCATCTTTAATGTGTCTTTCCTTTTTTTGTAGTAGTTCAAATGGAATTGTGTAGTCAGCTTTGCAAAGATAGCTCTTGCTGTCATAATGAAGATTGTTACCCTGATAGGGTTCAGTAACAACTATTGGAGATGCAAAAAATTGTACATATGTAAAGTGGTATTTTAATAGATTTTTTTCATTTTTTTTTAGGCTACTCACCCAGAATGTTGGTCTTCTTTATGTTGGAAACTTTGACAGACCTTTTGCACAAATTAAGGTACGATTAATAAGCTGCGGGGAGGGTGGTGGCTATTTAAATTATTTAACTTCCATATGATTTAAATCTTGATTTAGAGAACTTAAAGTTATCAATACAGCTTCAAGAAAAATAGTGGGAAATAGTGCTACTTTTCTGATGTTAACCATGTTCTGGGTTTGTTTCTAGTTACATCTGTGTACTTAACTTGTCAAAGAAGTCTAGTTTTTCCTGTTGTCTTTTGATTAATTTTGATTTGGGTTTAATTATCAGAAAGAAAATGTTCTTTAAGTTTTCCTTGACAGGGAAGACACTGCAGTAAAAAGCACAGATTGTTTTCCCAGTAGTACTGGATTTATTATGAAAGACTCAGACAATTGCTGGAAAATCATTTGTCTTTTATGACTTACTGTTTCTTTTCCTTCCGTTGAACTATAATAGTTTCACATTTCTAATTGCCAGTTGCTAATTAGTAATTGTTGTGTCACTTGCAAACAAAAACAGTTTACAAAAATATATGGAGTGAATGCTGGAATGTTCCCGTGTCCCAAATGATACCTGTAATTACTATATATTCTGTGCTCTTGGCAGTGCTGTTCTCTCCGTTGTGTGCACACACTTGTGCCTCTCAGAATTTTAAAAGCCTTGGTTTTGTTTTACTGAAACTTAATTTCTAAAACTCGGGTGTGTTCACTTGCAATCCCTAATTATATTACTAAAGAACAGTATTCCCAACCGTATCTAGCTTGTTTTTTCTAAATATTAGTATTATTAAATATTAGTACTGTTATAAAATTACTTTAAAGGAACAGATGCATGATTTTCATATTCCCTGTTCCTTTTCTCCCATCTCCCCAGTTCCTGCGTGGAAATTACTCAGTTTGGCTCATAAGCAAACAATTTAAATGTTTCTTGCATGAAACCTTGTGTTGCAAGAGGTTTCATCACAAACACTCTTGTATGTCTTTGGCGAAACCCCTTCAGAATAGTGCTTGTTTAAAATGCTTTATAAAAGTCGTCTCACCCTTGTTCCCCCCTTCCAAATGAGGCCCCATCCCTGCCATCGCTGGCCTCATCCATTTCTAATAATAGGCAGCGATATGGGGAGGTTCTGTCCGTGGCTGGGAAGAGTTTGGAAGTTGACTGGGTGGATTTGGAAGAGAAGAGGCGTATCCTGCACTCGTTTCCAGCCGTTTGTGGTCAGCAGCAGTACTCCTCCCATCGCCTGTGGCCAGGGAGAGGTCTTTCTGCTCGCAGGACAGCTGCAAAGCAGACGCTGTGCAGGATCAGACTGCAGGCTTGAGCATCATATCACTAGCAAATGCATAGGGAAAG